GGACAACAAAAAATAGACGGTCCCTGAATTATTAAGGCTAAGAATATGTGTCAAGTACCACTGTCCCGGGGTGTCAAGTTCAAGTCGGTGTACTTGAAAAATTTTCCAAAACGGGGGGTTTTTCAAAAAAAAAATATTTTAATAAAAGGGCATATCCTAATTTTTTTTGGCTACTTTTTAATTTTTATTACGAGTTTTTTTTTGAATTTTGGCGGGTTTAGCAATTTTCAACGATTATTCTAAAAAAGTTCCATGCGCCTTTAAGGCTTTCATAATGTTTTTTCAAGTCAGTCACATTTTCAAAGTCAACCATCCGCAGTTTTCAGATTTTTTTTGAAAATCTGAAATTCCAAATTTCAGTTTTCTCCACTTTTTTGCGATATTTTTGGGATTTATTTCTTTTTTTTTCACTAAATTTCCCAGAAAAAATCATAGAAAAATCCCAACCCCTTCCTTTTTTTTCTTGCGATATTTTTGGAATTTTTTTTTTCACTAATTTTTCTTGAAAAAATCATGGAAAAAATCCCAATTTCTTTCATTTTTTCGTCGAAATTTTGGAATTTTGGAAATTTCAGGGCCGCCTAGTTCCTAAAACTTCTAGATTTTTTTTCAGTTTCCGTTTCCATTTTTTTTTAATTTCAGGAAAAAAAATCTGAAATTGACACATATTTTTTGTTTATTGTCTTCTCCACCCCCCTCCACTCTCCCTCTAGATTCTAATCACATAGATATTGCATAACCAATACTAGAGATAACCTTAATAATAGAGACGCAGACATAGGGAAAAAAGATCGAAAGAAGAGGAAGAAGAAGGTCAAATCGATAAGAATAGCCATGCAATACTTCCTTTCCTCAGTTACTAATGATAACAATACACGTGTTTTGTCAATAGAGCATGTTTGTTTACATAATGTGATAAAAAATTAGAATTAGCAATAGAGCGCATTATCAACAAAAAAATTAGTAAAAAAAATGAGGAAAACCCTCCCTTATCAGTTGCTCAGATTATCTCTTCCTTATCTCTCTTTTTTTCTATCGCTCAAATGACTCATTTTTGTTTTTTTCCCTTCCCGTTCCCCTGCCATTTTCAGACGTTCGTTCATGCTCCGTCTATATTATATGAGTCACGATGAAAAGCGTTCAGGATGATGATAGATGATAGCTGACTACTCCAGGCCATTTTAGGCCATTTTCGGGCTGTTTAGGCCATTTTTTGTGACTTTTGGTTGTTTTTAGCTAGTTTAGGCTGTCCTGACGCTTTTCAGACAGTTTTAGGCGGTTTCAGGCCATTCTAGGCTTACGCAAGGCGATTTTAGGCCGTCTAGGTACGTTTGAGTCGGCTTCAGGATGCTGCTAGGCTATTCCCGTCTTGTGTAAGGCGGCATCGGGTTGTATCAGGCAATTTTAGGTTTTTCGAGTGATTTTAGCTGGTTTAAGCCGTCTGATATTGTTTCAGGATGCTTTTAGACAGTTTCAGCGTGAGTTTAAGCGATTTCAGTATGTCTCAAGCCAGTTTTGTGCTTTTGTAGGCTGTTTTGAGGCATTTCAGTCAGTTTCATGCCTTTTTAGGTCGGCTCGAACAGTTTCAAGCCACTTTTTTTGCCTACAGCATATTTTATCATGACTTTGCTGTTGGTTTTGCAGAGTTTGGGGCGTTTTAGGCTTTTTCAGACTAGTTTAGGATGAGTTTCGTCATTTTGGGCGGCATTTAGCAGTTTTCAGCTATTAGGACGACCCCTTTAGGCTGTTCCAAGCCGTTTCAGTCTGATTGAGGCCAGTTCAGGCTGCTTCTAATTGTTTTGGAGTAATTTCAAGCCATTTCTTGGTAAAACTATTTGAAGACACTCGAGATCTAGAGCTCAAGCTTTCAGATTCTAGTTCAAGCTGTTCTATGCCTTATTTTTCTGTCTAAGCCATTTTGGATTAACTAAGGCTATCTTAGACCTTTTCATGCTTTTTGTGGACCTTCCATGCATTTCTAAGCTACCTGAAGCTATCTTAGGCCGTCTTAGGCTGTGATAGGCTATTCTAGGCTTACTACAAACTACTTGGGCCCTATCTGGACCCTATTTTTCACAGGACCCCCTGTCACCCCCAAGAATTCCATTTTCATTTCCTCCCCCCAGGGGTTGGGGGTCAATCATCATCACCTCCTCCTTCCCTTTTCTCGCTTTCATTCAACTTTTTCTCATTTTCTATTTTTCGAAAAAGGAGCATTGATGCTCTCTCTCCTCCTTCCTGTCGGTTTCATTTCTTTTCATCCCCCCTTTTCGTCTTTCTTGATGTTTTGTTTTATATAGAAATATATTCCTCCTTCTCTATCTTCTCTCTTTTTTCTTCCGATTGAGTGCTCTGACGCCTTCTGAATATTCTAAAACTCTTCTTTTTCCCCCCAATGGTGATTCATGGACACCCTTACACTCAGACCCAAGGGTGTTCCCACGGGAACATTCCCCCCTTGGTTTAGGGGGCATAGTTTTAGGGGAAAAGGTTCTTGCTCTTGGAACTTTTTTTTCTGGGGAATAAGTAGGAATTTTAGGAATTTTTTCCTAGAAACTCTAATCTAAACAAATTTTTTTGGTCAAGATTAGAGATTTCGGAAATTAGAAAAAATTTTTCTTGAATTTCAAAAAAACATTTTTGGACCGATGTCGTGGTACCTGGTATTGAAGAGCACGTGGATCCGAATTTAGGCCAAAATTCGGATCATTTAGGCGAATTTAGGACATTTTAGGCTTCTAGACCAGGGATGTATAAAAAAAAATTTTTGCGAAAAAAATAGTTTTGTCAATTTTTTTTTGAAAAAATTTTTTTCCCGTTATTTAGAAGCCTCAAAACCATTTTGAGCCGGAAAATTCGGGAAAAAATCGAAAAAATTATGAAAAATGCAATTTGTTATCGCTCAAAATGATGGCCCAGAAAACTCCGGTCGTGTAGTCTGCGTGGACAAAATTTGAAAAATTATTTTTGAAGAATGTTTTTTTAATCGTTTTGCCGGCTTTTCATCCGTTTTGACTTCAAAAAACCTGATAGAAGAATATACGTCCAAAAAATTAAAAAAAAAGGGTTTTCCGACTTTTTTGACTTTTTTTTTCGACCAAATTTCTTCAAAAATCGAATTATCGTAAAATATGACGCTCAGTCTGCAAACACCTCCTAACGTCAGATTGCACATTTTAGAGATAGATTTTCCCAAAAAAAAAAAGTTTTTTGCAACATTTTTCCCCTCATTTTCTCATTTTCCCCTCCAGCCCAAAGAGTGCCCTTTTTGCAAATTCACACATAGTGAAATGTGATCTCCGAGATCTTCTTCTTCTTCCCTTTTCTTTTTTCTTATTCTTCTTTCTGAAAAATTTCCCTAAAATTGAAAATTGATCCTGGCGTAAATCTCATATCGTATGTATCTTTCAAATCAATTTATCTCAGTTGGGAACAAAGATAGAGAAAAGTTGTCAACTGATAAAATGTGTAGAATTTTATGCTGATCATTTTTGTAATTGATCATTTTTTGATAGGTGTAACGGTTTTTGAGATAAGCTGGTTTAACTGAGCACCATTCTTGAAAAAATGGTAAAAATTGCCAATTTAGGAATTTCCTCCGTAAATCACCTCGTAAATCTGGAGGAAAATAAATTCCAAGTGTCACCTCATAAAAATCAATAATGTCCACCTTCTCCCCGGATTACACATTCAAAAGATATCCTGAGCAGTCAGCCTAAGCTCTCCTTCTTGCCGACACGAAAACGAAACGACCTGCGCCCACGAACCAATTCATCATTCGGTTTATCGGAGGGAGACGGAAACCTCCTTCTTCCTATTACACAATTAAAATTCTCCTCTTTTCTCCTCATCATCATCATCATTTCCCTCTCCCCGATAATTATAGAGTGAGCAGTGTGTTCATTTCTCTTTTAATTACTCTTTTTAGCCATTTAAAACTTTTAAAAACCATCAAAAACCAAGCTTTCCACCAAATTATCATTGGGGCGCACTTGCTGCTTTTTGGATTTTTTTTCTTGCAAAGTGTTGATTAGGCGCCTCGCCTTATCAGTCTTCCCTCCCCCCCCCTCTTTCGTTCTTATACGCCTTTCACACCACGCGTCGTTGTCGACCGCGTGGCCTTGTGGCTAACGCTCCCAGTTTTGAATCTGCCATACCCGAGTTCAATTCCACCTGGGGCCAAATCTTTTTTTTTCTTTTTCCGAACATTTTTTTCAACTCCAAACCCATAAAAGGTATGATTAGAACGCCCTCCTCATACAAATCACAGGTGGCGTCGCCTGCCCCCTTTCTCCGACACAGAGCGCTAGACAAACATGATTTATAGTAGTAGTTGGGAGGGGGGAAGGTGGTTTCTACTACTGCTACCTGTCACCAATCTCTCTTTTTTTCTATTTTCTCTCTCTATTTTACACACCTTTGTTTCGATTTTCGTGGGAATTTTTTTTCGAGATTTTTGGGATTTATTTGGATTTTTCGGATTTCTAAAAAAGATTTTTGATCTACCAATTTCAATTTTCCAAAAAAAATGACGGGAATTTTAAAATTAATTGTTTTGAGATGCGCCGCTTGTTCGAATTTCTATGCATTTTTAGACATTTTGACCATATCGAAATTCTTTTCTCGTTTTTCTCCTCTCAAAACAACACAAAATATACATACCAGGCTGTGTCAGGACAAGCGGAGGACGAGGACGACAAAAAACGCATAAAAATCTTAATATTGGTTGAGTAGAAGGGCCCATTTACGACGGGCGGGTCATTTCCCTCCGAGGCGCCCCGAGAAGGTTTTATTTTATTCATTTTTGGGAGGTTTTGATCTTTTGGCCCAAAAATCTGGGTTCTCGGACCCAAAAAATCAGAATTCCCGCGTTTTTCTCACTGGAGCGCATTTTCATCACTTTTGAAAGTTTCTTATTGGTCACCTCACCCCCCCCCCCCCCGAGACAAGCACGAAAAGCTGCGCACTTATCAACGCCCTCTCCTCCTAGTTACCGTGGTGACCACGTGGCCAAGTGGGTAACGCTCTCGTTTTTGAATCCAAAGGCACCCCCGGGTTCGGACCCAGGCAAGGTCAAATATTTTTGTTTTTTCTTTTACACATTTTTCGCTGGTTCCTGATCAGTATCTCGTGCTTCTTGACGTATTTCGGGACAAAATTAAAAAATTGGATTGCCCTTTTTAGGTCCCAATTGCAAAAGGACACTTTAATCATTGAGATTGGGGTCTGTCTGTATGTCTGTGTATCCATACACCAGTTTTCATATATCATGTTCACTCGGCCGTTACTTACAACAACACATCCAATTCATCCATCCAACACATTCCGCCCCGCTACAAAATGTCCTTTTTGATACTTCTTTGGAAAAGAAAGAGAGAGAGAGAGAGAGAGAGAGAGAGAGAGAGAGAAGAGACGGAATTAGCATAATTATGACACTCTCTTCGCTTTTCTTTTTCTGTTTCTCGCTTCGTTTTTATTATTATTTTCCCCCACTTTTTTTTCTCAGGATTCACAAACAGAGAGCCAAAGGAATAGGCTTATTATTTTTCTCTCCCTGCCCCCTTTTCTATTTTTTTCCAACTTTTTTCTTCTCATTTTGTGCTTGAAAACCCGTGTATATAACCTGGAAGCTTGCTGTAGATTTACGGGAAGTTAACCATATTAAAAATTCAAATTCCCGCCAAATCTGTTTTTTCGAAAATTTCCAATAGAGCGCAGTTGCTGTTTCAGCATTTCAATTAAATCAATTTCGCTCACTTTTTAATGGAGCGCCATTACTGCCTAACTTCACCTGGTCAAATTCAAGTCACCGCCAAGCCTAGTTCAATGGAGCGCACTTTCTACCTAAAAAAAATTCAAAAAAATTCAAAATGTCCTACAGAGCGCATTTACTGCTTCCCCTACCAGAATTCAATCGCGCTCCAATGCAAAAACTACGCTTCAAATGGAGCACGTTTGCATTCCAACTTTAATCAATTTTCAGATAAATTCAAATTCCCGCCAAGCGTAGTTCAACAGAGCGCAGTTTTCACAACCAATAAGAAGTTGAGAATTGGACTTTGAATTTTGAACTCCCGCCACGCCTAGTCCGATAGAGCGCACTTTCTACCTAACTAAAAAACTTTCGTATGTTTCCTTTTTTTCCCGGTTTTTGAGACAAAAAAAGAGATTAGAGTATATGAAAACATTGAAGAAAAAAGAATGTAAAACAAGTGTCTTTTTCCTTCTTCTCTTCACACAAACACCCCTCCTTTTTTCATGATATTCTCTGGGATTAGTCAGCGTGTTTCTTCTGCTTCGTTTTTCTCATTTTGCGTGAAGCGTTTGAAATAAAAATGGAAACAGAGAAAATGCGCCAATTTTGAACTGTTTCTGACGAATTTTGAGCGTTTTTGAAGCAATCGCGCTCTAATGGACTCCAATTTGAAGGCTTGGCGGGAATTTGAATTTTCAAATTTTTAATGTCTTTCAAAGTTTCTTGAGCATGCAAACTCGCTCTATTGCAATACAACTTGATGTCCCTTTAAACTTTTTTCTGTCCATTTTCATCGGAAACTTAAAGGAGCTGCACATCAAGTTGATGAGTGAGAGCAAGGGCAGAATAAGTAATTTTCATCCTTTTCTCTAATTCTCTCAACTTCCCCGTGATCTCTCTCGATTGCTCATTTTCTCTGCGTCTCTGCGTCTCTCGTTCTCTAATTAATTCGAGAAGATAGAAGAAGCACCCCCCCCCCCTTTCCGTCCCAATAATCCATCGTGTCCTTTTTCTCTCTCTCTCTTCCACATTTTCTGGTCCTTTGAACGCGATTGTCGATTTGCAGGATGTCATCTGAAGCGACGGCGGCCACGTCTCCAGAACACGAGGCCACGCCCACTCCTCCTCCTCCTCTGAGCAAAGGGGGCGGAGCCGGGGGAGGAGGAGAACAACAACAAGTTCCATTTCGTAAGTGTCTTACTTGTTTGACTTTTTGGGGTACTTGGGAATTCGAAAATTGGGGAATGAGCAATTGCGCTCCATTGACAATTTTTTTCCCAATTTTTAAGTTTTTTGAAAGTTTTTCACATTGTTCGAACCGCCTGAATTTTCTGATTCTGAAAACCTAACATTCCTCGCTGTACCTTTGAAACTAAGCGAGTTACGGTAGATTTTTTGATTTTTCCGATTTTCGAATTGTTTCGAAAATCTCTAACTCGGCTAGTTTTCAAGATTCCGACTCGGTTTTTAGCTCAAAAATTTCAAAAATGTTAGTGATTATTAAGAAAAATATCACCAAGAGCCTCTCTGAAAAACTTGATCCTTGAAAAAATATTTCGAAAAATTGCAGTGCCCAAAACCTCAAAATCTGAAAATCCGCGCATTTTCAGCCAAAACAAGTGTCAAATTCAGATTCCCCATCGGATTTCTGAAGATTTGAGCCCCATATTGACGGCATTCCGAGAATTTTCATTTTTCGTGCTAAGACCCCCCTAAGACGGTTTTGGCGCCGAAATTCAAAATTATCGGATTATGGTCAATATGGGGCTCAAAACTCGCCAAATAATGAAGATTAGGGATTTTTGGTTAGTTTTCAACCAAAAAATATTTTTGGTCCCCATTTTTTCATCGAACATTTTTCAAAAAAAAAAAATTTTTTCAAAAAAAAATATTTTCTCCTCTATAAAACCTAGTCTAATTCTGTAAGGTTTTTTCCCTCTCATCTTCTTTCTCAATAAAAAATTCTCTTGAACAACACTGGAAAAATAAGGAGACCGGTGACAGGAAGAGGCGGGTAAGGCATGAATAATAGCCTCGTTTTTTTTGTTATTGTGACTGACGATGAGACAAAATAGGAGGAAAAAAATAATAGAGGGCACCCATCTTTTCCAATTTTCCTGAGGGAAGAAAAGAATTTTTAATATTTTTTTTCCCGGGTGAAAAATATTTTTTTTGTGTTTCGAAAAAATAATTTTATCAGATCCGGAATTCTAAATATCCGCTGTAGAAATGACACAGAAATTTGAATTCCCGGCGAAATTTGACAAGTTTTGAGCCCCACATTGACCGTAATCGGAATATTTTGAATTTTGGTTCCAGGACGGGTCCTACCACGAAAAATCACATTTTTCGGAATATAGGTAATATGGGGCTCAAAACTTCGGAATTTTGATAGGGACTCTGGTTTTGACACTTGTATTGACTGAAAATTTTCGGATTCTCAGAATTTGAATTTTCAGAAGCTTCAAATCTCTGAAATATTTTTTCAAAAATCGGGAAGTTTCCGTTGTTATTTTTCCCATCAACTACCAAAATTTTTAGATTTTTTGAGCCAAAAACCAAGTCACAATATTGAAAACTAGCCGAGTTATCGATTTTCGAAACTTTTCGAAAATCTGAAAAATCAAAAAAACTACAGTAACTCGTTAAATTTCACCGCGAGACCTATGAAAATTAGATTTTTAGAATCAGCGAAAAAAGGCGGTTCCAATGAGTATAATCATGCCCAGGATCTGATAATTTTTTTTCAAAATTTTGTTTTGGATCCCGTCACAAATTTCAAAAAAAAAAATTTTTTTCAGAAATGATACCGCCCGGTCACTTCTTCGCCAACCCGTTCATGAATCCTTACGTCCCCGCACCTGGTCCTCAAGAGGGCGGGACCCAAGAGGGCGGAGTCCCGCAGGGTCAAATGGTATTCTCCCCAGCACAGTATCAAGAGGTTATGCATCACTATTTTCAACAAATGATGGCGGCCAGTGGAGCGCAGTTTCCGATTCCATTTCCCATGCAGTTTCAGCCCGCGTTTCAGCAACCCAGGCCGAGTTCACAGGTTCGTGGACATCCGGAGAATCCGACTTACAGACAGACAGACACTGAGTCATCCCGCTAGTAATTAAAGTATTTCGAAACATTTCCGATGATGAAATTCCTCCCACTGGGACATCCAGACACACAGACAAACAGACAGAATTCTCAAGGGTCCTCCCCATCATCACTTATTAATACGATATTTAGGCGTCATCATCTCATCGTTCCGAGGAGGATAATGGAAGGCAGACAGCTGGTAGTGTGGTAGTGTCATCCAATGTATCACCCAATCATCAACGAGAGGTTCGTTTAGAATGAGGGGAAACACTTCAGAAAGCAATGAGAAGGCGTAGAACAAAAAAACAAAAGAAAAAAATCCGGGTGGAATCGAACCCGGGACCTCAAAATTGAAAGACAGACGCGTTAGCCACTTGGCCACGCGGTCGTAAGTTGCAACAGGTAGTGAGGGCGGTTATAAAAGTGGCAGGCGCCGATAGCAGCGCAGGGGGAGACAGGTTGAAGACGCCGAGATGGAAAACTGAACATTAAAAAATAGAAAACATGCAAACGCGCTCCATTGAGAATATCTCTAGAATGATGGTTCAAAGCGGTGATTTTGAATTTTCGATTTGATTTTTCCAAAATTGCGGATCTTTAGACTATTTTCGGAGCAAATTGTGGGAATAATTTTTGAAAAAGTTTTGTGAAAACGCGCTCCAATGATAAAGTGTTGAAAACCATGTTTTTCCAATGAAAAATTTTTCAGCAAAAGCCAACGGAAGAGTCAAAAGAAGCTTCGACATCTCCAGAAGTCAGTGGTCTCGTGGAAAATGCCACCGGTAAGTTTTTTTGTTTTTCAAAAAAACCGTGTTCGATAGAGCGCACTTTCTCCATACTAGTTTTTGAACCTTTTTTTATATCCCTGGATTCCCCATTTCATTTTTGGACACCAGACCACTCCTCCCCCTCCTCCCAGAATACAACTCTTCCCCCCTTCTTTTTCCATCTCGTCAGACACAAGCACACGAACAATTAGTGTGGAATCGACAAACGAGCATCCCTCCTCCCACAGAAACAGTGTGTGATAGTAAGAGACGTCAGTGATATCTACTAGTAAGGGGCCAAAAGAGGGATGCTGCTCGTGTTTCAGGATTCTGGCGCGCGCGCGCGTTGAGCCGAAGAGCACTTGTGTCAAATGAGGGAGAGTGAGGGAAGAGAAGACATGGAGAAGAAGAGGAAATGTATCAAGGGTGTAGTACACATTTGTGTTCGGGTTTTCCGAATCGAAAAATAGGGATTCTGGAGGTTTTAGGCCCGAAATAGAGTTTCGAGACTTGAAACTACTGGAAAGTTGATTAGAAAAAAAGCAAAAAAGATATTACCCCGGGGGGAATCGAACCCGGGACCCTCTGATCCAAAACCGACAGCGCTAACCACTAGGCCGCGCGCTCGCATTAAGAAGAAGGGTAAGAAGGTGGTGATAACCGCGTAGTTTGGAGAGGGGGGGGGGGAAGAGAGGTGAGATAACAGATTAAATAGTGCAAAAAAGGCTGGGTGGAGAAAGTGCGCTCTAATGCAATAACCTACAAAATCACGCCCAAATTCAAATTTTAAGCGATTTTTTGCAGATGACGTCCTCCTACCCACCTCCTCGGAATCCACAGCAATTCCAGATGAAGAATCTCCATCTCCCGGGGAAGAAAAGCCAGAAGAAAAACGAAAACTGTCCGGGGACCGTACCGACTCACTGATTCGAAAACAAATGAACGAAATGGAGAAGGAGATCACAAGGAGGTCACAGAACAAGAATATTAAGAAGGTATTGATTTTTTGGGGCCTGAAATCGGATTTAGTGAGAGATGGGGGAACAATTGGGACCAATAATCTAATAACGTTTGTGTCTCTTTTTCTCTCTTTCCACATACACAGGGGGTGCCCCGTGCCCCACACAACATACCCAATTTCGTAAATGCACTCACTTCTTCTTCTTCTTTCTTCTCTATTCTATTCTATTCCAAACCACGTTTTTTTTTATTCACAAGAAATATTTTTTTATCGATTTTTATGACCTAAAAACCTGAATTTTCTGCGAAAAAGCAAAGAGTTCAGCTCGATAATTAAGAGTAGAAAAATGGGTACGTGCAGAATTTTTGGAAGAGAGTTCTGTGGTTTTTTTTCTGGCTTTTCAGTTATTACACTGGCAAAAAATGTGGAAAAATAAGGTAGTCAGGCCGATTTTCGCGAAAAAATGACAGAAATACGACATTTGGCGCTTCAAAGTACAAAAATCGTCCGAAAAGGACTCGAAATAGGCGCTAGGGTGGACATCCGGACATCCGGACACTCGGATGGAAATCTGGACATCCGGGCATTCAGATAAGCAGACAGATATTCGGACATCCAGACATCAGGATTTCCGGATGTCCGAATGAGAAGATAGACACCTGGACATCTGGATATCTGGAAACTCAGACAGACATCCGGATACATAGATAAACGTACGGACATCCGGATATCCTAAAACCTAGATACTCAGACATTCAGTCATCCGGACGCTCAGATGGACAGACATTCGGAAATCCGGATATCCAGATAACCATACAAACAGCTGGAAAAAAATCAAAAAATCCGGACTCTAAAAATCAAAAAATCCGGACTCTCAGTTGGACATCCAGACATCTAGATATCCAGACAACCGGACATTTGGCCATTTTGGTGGACATCTGGACATCTAGATACACAGATAGACACACTAACCATTCCCTAACAATCACACCCTAACTCACAAGCCTACTAGACAAATTAGCTGCAAAATCCGAACCCTAATAGAAGGACACCCACCCAAAAAAAAACCTACAGTAACTCGTCCCCACTCACCCTGAAATTTCTTCATTTTCACTATCTCTTTTGGTCCCCCTTGGGCTCTTTTGGGAACCTCTATTATAAGGGCACGATACAGATTGACGACGACGGACTGGCTGAGCTGATTGGAAGAGGAGGAGGAGGCGGAGCTTCTACAGTAATCCCCGACGATTTTTCACCGTTCACGGATAAGGTAGATCGATAGAAGTGTTGTGGTATATATTTGTATTGCATGTGCACCCAAAATTTGTGTTACCGTACTCCTTCTTGTCCTCCAAACGCGCTCCATTGCGATTTTTGTCCATGGAGCGCACTTGCTGTGGTTTCCTGATTGCTTCTTTGTGCGAGATTTGAATTCCCGCCGAATTTCACAGTAACCCAAACCGGTTTTTTTCCAGAGTGGTCTATCCTACACGGCACCCCCAGCCGCCCCAACTACTGTAGAAAAAGCGGTGCCCAAGGAGTCACTGAATCAGCTCCGGAGCTCCTTCAACCTGCCAGAAGACTCCCCGACGGTGGGACCGGTACCTAGCTCCACCCCTCCGGTGCAACCGGCTCCACAACAACAATTTGCCAACAACTCGATGTTTGCCGGGAATTTCGCGGCGCAAAACGCGTTTGTGCAGGTAAGTGCGCTCCATTGATAAAAATCTTGAATTTTTACTTTTTGTCACTTTCTCGGTACGGTTTTGACCGCCAAATTTTTCTGATCCCGACAATATAATTTTCTTAGCTATCCGTCAAATTTAGGGCGAGTTACAGTAGATTTTGTGATTTTTCAGATTTTCGAAAAGTTTCGAAAATCGATAACTCGGTTAGTTTTCAAGATTTTCACTTGATTTTTGGCTCAAATAATCTGAAAATGTTGGTTGCTCATGGGAAAAATATCAACGGAAGCTTCCCGATTTTTGAAAAAATATTCCGAATATTTGAGGATTCTGAAAATTCAAAATCTGAAAATCTATACATATTTAGCCAAAACTAGTTCAAGATCCAGTTTCTAAGTGGAATTTCTGAAAATTTGAGCCCCATATTGACCATTTTCGGAAAAAATATATTTTCGTGCTAGGACCCGTCCCAGAGCCAAAATTCAAAATTATTTGAATATGGCCAATATGGGGTTCAAAACTCGCCAAATTTAGTGAAGATTAAGAATTTTTAGCCTAATTTTTTATTCGAATTCATTTCTTTCAGATGACACCCCAAGCTCCATTTGGCACTGCTCCAGGCTTCCAAATGATGCAACCCCATCAACATAATCTCTTCATGCAACAACCTAATCGTGAGTTTTTTTTCTGTTTTTTGAATTTCCATGCTGTGTAAACGCGCTCCAGTGCTAATTTGCATTAGAGCACGTTTTCTTTTTTTTTGCTGTGGAAACCGCGCTCCATTGATAAAAATAAATTCCAGCCACCTTCGTGAACAACGGCACGAATCCATTCCTTCAAAACCAGCCACCTCTTCCAAATTTCGTCCAAAATGGCACCGCCCCTCTGGTACCTACAGTAACCACCCAGCAATTCACACCGGAGCAACTTGCCGCCGCATTTGCCCAACAACAAATCGCTCAACAGGCCCAGGCGGCCCCAACACCCTTCGACGCTCCGCCCCCATCAACTTCCCAGGCTACAGTACCCCCACCGACCGGTGGCCTTGCCCCACCACCTCCACCATCTCATCCGATTCCGAGGAGGATTAGTGGAGGATCATGGCCTGAGGAGAATAAGGAGAATGGGAGTACGACGACGAGTGGAACTAATGGGACCACCGGAGCACCATCCACATCCACTGGAACTGATGATCCGGTGTGGGTGTTGAGGGATTCTTACTTGAAAAAGATGCAAAGAGAGCAGAGGACTTCGGAAGAAGAGGTAGATATTTTTGAAAAATATAAAAAAGAAAAATGACGTTGAGTGGAATTGAACCCGGGTATGAAATTTCAAAAACTAGAGCGCTACCGGTTGCGCCACACCGTCAGCAGTTACACATCAGGGTTGTGCGAAAAATTTTTCGGACCGAAAAATTTTTCGGTTTTTTCGGACATTTCCGAAAAATTTATCGTCGAAAAATTTTTCGGTTTTTTCGGACATTTCCGAAAAATTTATCGTCGAAAAATTTTTCGGTGCAAAGACTTCGAAAAATTTATCGCCGAAAAATTTTTCGGAAAAATAGTTTCGAAAAATTTTTTCGGAACCTGAAATTTTTACCGAAAAATTGATAATTAACTGGCGATCTATGAGAAAAAAAATTGAAAAATGAAACTTTTTGGCCGATTTTTGAAGTTTTTTGAAGTTTTTTGTTGTTTTTTGTTGAAATGGTCGAGACTGGAATAGAAAAAATTTCATTTACGTTTCAACATTTTTTTCGATTTTTTTCGGACAAAAAATTCCGAAAAAAAAATTTTTCCGGATTTTTTCGAACGATCTTTTCGAAAAAAAAGTTTTTTCGATTTTTTTTCGGACAAATTTTTCGAAAAAAAATTTTTTTCGGTTTTTTTTCGGAGGTCATTTTTCGCACAACCCTGTTACACATGGGTGAGAGGGCATAGAGGAAGGAGGGGGACTCGTTGCTAGAGTGACCCCCTTTCTTATATGCCCACTAGACTCAGCAAAGTTAGTCGACTGGGTGGCCTACCTGGTAAAACGCTTGCTTTTGAAAATTCAGGTCCCGAGTTCAATCCCTCCCGGGGCTAAACTTTTTTTTCTTCCCCATTTTTTCGTATTGTCACTTTTTTTTCTAAAATCTGCAATTTTTTTCTCAAAAAGAACAATAGTTCACATAAAAAAACGAAGCGAAATCTCACATTTTAATGATAGAGTCGAATATCTGAATATAATGACACCCTTGGGAGGATAGAGGATAGAGGATGGAAACGAAAATTATAGGATTCGTGAAAAAAAAAACGAGAGTTCTCGCGTTGGGCTCCAGTTTTTAGCTTTTGTAGTATAGATTTTCGTTTTTTTTTCTCGGAAAAATGTCTTAAAACCTGAATTTCAGCTTAAAATAGCTTTAAATGGCCTAAATTGACTTGAATCAGTCCGGAAACAGCATAGAACGGCCTGAAATAGCCCAAATTGGCCCAAACTGACCTAAGTTAGTCCGAACAGATCCTAAAATCGTTTGAATCGAACCGAACCAGCCTAAGTCGATTGAAAACGGCCTGAAACAGCTCAATTTGACCTAGCTTTAATAAAAATTGGCCTAAAAATGGCTAAACACGCCCTAAATTTGTCAGAACTGGCTGGAAAATAATCCACAAAGACCCGAAATCATCTAGAATCGCCAAAATATGTTGTAATCTGGGTGAAGTTGGCTTGGGACAACCTGAAACGGCCTGAACTAGCCTGAAATATTGTCAGAATGGGCCCAAAATATCCTAGGTTTCAGCTCAAATTTCAGTCTCAAGTCGAACAAAAAAAAGAATTCTGATTTAAAAATCCTGAAAAAAACTGAAAAATTGACAATTTCACCACAAGAAAAGATGAATTTTCTCAATTTCCGGTCCATTTCCTTCAACCCAAAATTTCAATTATTTTTTTTTCTTTCAGGAAATGAACTGGCACGAAGCGGCGACAGCTGCACAGGAAGCCGCCGAAAATGGTGGAGGAGATGAGCAGGAGGAGCAGGAAACTGATCGATTACTCAATGGAGGACCATCTGGTGGGACCAAGGGTGGAATCGGAGGTACCCTGAATGATCGGAGGGGATCTGTGGATAAGAAGAAGAATAGTAAAGAAAGTGAGTCTAGAGTTTTGGCGGGAATTTGAAAAAAAAATTTGAAAAGGGGCGCGAAATTTTTGAAAAATAACCCGATAGAAAAATTCAGTTTGGGTGTTAATGCAGTGTGAAACCAACCTAATTTCCAGTATGGTATTATTTTTGCGGTGCAAAAAAAGTAAAAAAAAATAGTATTGAAAGAAATGGCGCCACAAAAATTATTTTAAAAATTCAAATTTGTCCTCATCCTGTAGTACCTCTTCACCACTAGCGGCACCCGTTCGTGATTTCACACATTTATGTTGTAATCTCCTAATTTTTGTTCGTTTTTAATAGAAAAAAAAATCAATTTTACCTCTAGGGATAATATTTTTTGAAAAAAAGTTTTTTTTGGGTCTCACCACGAAAATAGAACATCTATGGTATCTTGGTTAGTTTTAGGCCTATTTACACAAGATAATGTTTTTTGAAATCAGCTCATCAAGCCGGTTCAAATGAGTATAATCATGACAAGGCTCTGAAATTTTTTTGATTTTTTGATTTTCCGGTCCCACCACGAAAATGGAAAATCTATCGTAGCTCGATTTGTCTTAGGCCGATTTACACAAAATTAGGATTTTTGAAATAAGCTCGTTGAGATGATTCGAATGAGTATAATCACGACTAGGTTTCGACAAATTTCAAGTTTTGGGTCCCACCACGAAAACACTAAAACTACCGTAACTCGGCTTATTTTGATCGGATTTTGACGAAAAGTATAGCATTAGAATGAGAGAATTCAGGAGGTTCTTATGAGTTTCTAGTTTGTTATGACATTTTCTAAAAAATTTTCCTCGAATAAAAATAAAAATTCCACTCGACCACGCGCACCTACCATCCTCTCGTCCACCACCACCACTTGTAGTTGTTTTAATTTGGTGAGTTATATATTACCCATATCCAAAAGTGTGAAATTTTTGGAAAAAAAAATTGGAATGCGCCTCTCTCTCCCCGATTCCCAGCTCTATTTTTAGTTTTCGATATCGCTACTTTTCGGTTTTTTTTTCATTTTGCATGCTCTATCTGCGCTCTATTGATAATTTTTAAGATTGTTAAAAGAGCAAACGTTTTACAGTGTGTTTTACACTTTTTTTTGTAAAAAAAAGATTGCAGTGACTCACAAAAAAAATTTTAATTGAAAAACTTTAGAAGTCTCGTATCTCTGCGGGTTTTGCGGATAGAAAATTGGAGCAAGAGACAAAAATGTAGAAAATTTTGTGTAGGTCTTTTTTGTAGTTGACAGTTTTTTGTTAGCACGACTAGTTTTTGAGATAAGCCAGTTTGAAGATTGAGTAAACCGCGCTCCATCGATAATTTCACTCCGAGGTTAGGACCCTCGTATCTCTGCGGGTTTTGCAGATAGAAAAATGGTTTAAGAGACAAAAGTGTAGAAAATTTTACAAAAAAAATTTTCTTAGTTTATAATTTTTCTCTAGCTCCTTTACTTTTTGAGCTGTACCTGTTTAAAGTTAGTGCGAAACCCCTACCATAAGCGCATAATTCTCCCCTAACTTCAACGCGCTATATCTCAAAAACCAAAACAGCTATCAAAAAATGTTCAACTACAAAAATGATCTACACAAAATGTCCCTCATATTTGTTTCTTGCACCAACTTTTTATCTCCAACACCCTCCAAGATACAGGCCTTCAAACCTAAAGTCTCTCGGCAAGAGAGCCCAGAGAAACGAGAGTGTCTGTTTCTCTGCGTCTATCGCAATCCAAGGCTTTTTTCTTATGGTGGTGGCTTTTTTATGAGTGACGAATGATGATCCCCCTATGGCTTGTAAAAAATGAAAAAAAAAATAATTTTGGGTCAGGTGGCGGATTTTCGGGTTTCTATGGTGAAGGGATTCTAAAAAATTTTTCTCTAACTCTCTCTTCCCTCCCACATTAACCACTTCTCTCTCCACCTGACCCCGAATACCCTTGGCTCCGCCCCCTTACCGTACCCCTAACCCTTTGGAATCTTTCAGCTATGGTACATGAACCTGCAGTTCTAATCGAGGGAGTCTTGTTCCGCGCGAGGTACCTTGGCTCGACCCAAATGCTGTGTGAAAGTCGGGGAAGCAAAGCTGCTCGAATGGCACAGGCTCAGGAGGCGGTGGCACGGGTCAAAGCACCGGAGGGAGACGTCCAACCGTCGACGGAAATCGATTTGTTCATCTCGACGGAGAAGATTATGGTGTTGAATACGGATTTGCAGGTGGGTCTTGAAACGGAAAAATTGGAGTTTTTTGAGCCAAAAGCCATGCGAAAATGTTGAAAATAGAGATAAAATGTTGAAGACAGAGTTATGGGCCTTTTTGATTTTTCGAATAAAAAAGTACAGTAACCCAGTCAATTTCGCTCCGAGACCCATAAAAATTGAATTTTTGGAATCAGCACGTCAAGACGATTCGAATGAGTATAATCATGACTAGGCTCTGAGAATTTTTGAAATTTTTCGGATTTTTGGGTCCCGTCACGAAAATAGGAAAACTACCGTAACTCCGTCAGCTTTGATTCTAGACAGTTGAAAATTGGACTATTCGAATCAGCGTAAAAAGGCGGTTCGAATGAGTATAACCATGACTAGGTTTCAATTTTTTCATTTTTGGGTCCCGCCACGAAAATAGAACAACTACCGTAACTCCGTCAGTTTTTTTCCTAGACAGTTGAAAAACGGACTGTCAGAATCAGCATGAAAAAACGGTTCGAATGAGTATACTCATGACTGGGTTTCAATTTTTGTAATTTTTGGAATTTTTTGTCCCGCCACGAAAATAGGAAAACTACCGTAACTCCGCTAGTTTTGATTCTAGACAGTTGAAAAGCGGACCACTAAAATCAGCGTGACGAGACGGTTCGAATGAGTATGATCTTGACTAGATTTCAATTTTTTTGATTTTTGGGTCCCACCACGAAAATAGAAAAACTACCGTAACTCGGTTAATTTTGGCCGTATACAATTGAAAATTGGACCATCAAAATCAGCGTAAAAAGGCGGTTTGAATGAGTATAATCACGACCAATCTGTGAAATTTTTGAAAAATTCGATGTTTGGGTCCCACCACGAAAACTAATTTTTTGCAGAGAATATCAGACACCGATGTTCGACAGGACATCCTAATGGACCACGCTCTTCGGACGATAAGCTATATTGCTGATATTGGAGATTTAGTCGTTTTGATGGCAAGGAGAATGTCCACAAGTCATTCCGATGAGAGTTGTTCTGATGGG